CTTCCCCCCCCCCCCCCCCCCCCCCCCACGTGACTTCTAGAGTGTCCTCTTCAGAATGTCGGTGAATAATACTGCCTGATTAATTGATTGGTGAAAAAGGGTCGGTGAGAATTGGGAAAGGTTATTCTCCGATAGACCAGGAACCAAAGTACAGGATGAAAACTATCGATCAGCACAAAAGTTTTGGTGGACTTTAGTGAAAAATTTTTTGGTCACTTGTGTGCATACCCACCACGACATGAAATAAGAGACAATTGACAGGTCCAGTAAGACCTAATTGTCCGCAGAACCATGAAGTCTCAGTTTTAGGCGAGGAACTTGGCTCTTGAAGTGGAAGCAATCCTTTTCAATGTCAGGCCAGCATGCAAATGTTATTGCATTAGATTTCACGATGCTAACATCCAGATGACTGTTATAATAGAGCAGTAAAGTAACTCGGATGACACGGTATTCAGACACTTAGAATGAAGTAGCAATAGAGAAATCATCACATCGTATCTGAAGTCGGAGGAGATCGTTCTTTCGGCTTAAGTTTGGTGTAAACTATTTTCACATATCATCTTGTACATTATACGAAGTTATTAGAAATTTGAGCACAGAATAGCGTGAATTTGAATATCATTAATAGATCTAAGAACAGAGAGAACTGGCAACAGTAAGAGAATTTGTGTAATTATATTGCACATCAATATCTGATTTAAAGTAAGAGTATGGGAAGCATGGTGAACATTTTTTCAAGGACAAAAGTTGGAACATGTCAGATAACACCACCAAAGACATATCTTGAAGCATATATAGTCACTATAATTGATAGATTTGTATTGTAATGAGAATTCAGCAATCCAGACTTTTCCACATTCTGGATTCCAGGTCCATTTCCTGTAAACCTCTTTCATGAAGAACAATTACGGAAAGTGATACTGATTGTAGAGAAACGTGTGGAACTTTTGGCTTCGTCATTAAATAACACGCCAGGTACTTCAAATAGTGTTATTCATAATCATATTAGCCCTAGAAATATCAACGAATCCTCGAATCGAATGAATCACGTGCCTGACAACCTATTCTATTATACTCAGCAAATAAATCGTCAGTAATTGGCACCATGTTACAATTTCGGTTGCTCCGCTTTCTAAATATTTGAAAATAAACCATTGAGGCGGGTTGTAATTAATCGTGTTTACTTGACCAAGTAATCTAAAATGCGTCTGAGTTGATTTCGACATGAATTTGACATCTGCTCAAGTTTTTTACTTTTACTTCAGTATGTGTATGTGTTCATCATGTAGCCTCCCATATTCTCCCTTGCGTAATAAGTTATATCAATGATTTAAATAAATTGGTGCTACTTGATGAGACCACTAATGAGACCCACAATTTCCCCCCTTATACTAAAGATAAAGAAAACAATGAGCAGAAGCGTGAATATATGGATTACGCCATAAAAGCCAATTTAATGCGGAAAGTTTTCTGTTTTATAACGTAAGACCAATTCGAATTTGTAACAGAGATTCAATGAGTTCCTATATCAATATCTGTTAAAAAAGCATACTAAGGAAAATGAGATTATTACAATTTATATAAAGATAGAAGTAATTACAACAAAAGGTAGACTTAGGTTACCCCTGATTGCTGAAATATTTACATGGTTAACACCAAATTAAAAGTAACATTTTTAAAAATTAATATAATAAGTTTACTTAATGCAAACAACTGATTTTATAAAAAATAAACAATATTAAAGTTAATCAAAGTTATTGAAATAAATTTAGATTAAATAAACTTTTTATTTTGTTTTTTTTTGTCGGGATTTAACGGAAAATGAACAATATAAAGGTTTTAATCCGTACTTTATCTCGACCATAATACTTTTTTAACCTTAAATTCAACGCGCGCCTTCCGTATATTTTGGGATAGAATTAAACTATGAATAGCGCTTAACAAAATGGAAATAGAAGTGCGATCAAATGACACTCTTGATGAACAAGTTAATACATACATTAACGAGGGACGATTTCATTATGCTATCCTTTCACTCGGTCTTCTTAATATTTGGGTGATTTTCTTATTTTTCTACAACGCTCGAGTTCTTGGATTTATAACATGCTTTTTTCTCCGAAAATTTGTCAAAAATGGATACATAAGCATCGGTTTGTGAAATATAAAATAATTTATTCGTTTTAGGTTCGATTTCTTTTTCGGTTGTTGGTGGGCTTGTCATGATCAGGGATCTGGTTTATCTGACTGACGACTTTAGCATTCGATGCTGTTACGGCACCATGGTATTCAATTATTGGGCCCTATTCGACCCAGATATACGAAGTACTTTTTGTTCTTGCAGTCTATCATGTTTTTATTTGTGGCTAACTTCAAATATTATTTTTCGCTCAGGTAAAGACACTAAGCGTCGGTTGTATATATTTCTCTATGGTTTCGATCTACACGTCTTCAATCGAAAGGCTGTTTATGAAGCATTTACATCAAAATTAGTGAACATTCATCAATCGGATCAACCTCCTCCACCTCAGTATAGATATATTTGTTTGATTTTTATCACAGCTATTTTCTATCTAATCGGAATGCCTTCTTAATTCAGACATGACATTGCAGAAGATGATGCTTTGGGCTGGATCTGGGCAGAATTTGAGCGACTGTTCCCAATTGTCAGATTCAATTTGGAAACGGTAATATTGTCATTCAAATCTAATTTTTTCATAAACCTTCTAACATTTATTTCTATACAGTCGAAAATCTGTTTCGGTAACCACCTTGTTCCCAGAGCATTCGTTCTAACTTGTCAAAAGGCACAGGGAAACTACACTCAGAAACGTGCTACCTGTCGGTTTGACAAATATCAACACTGGATGTCTTTCGAGTTTCAAGACCTCGCCGGATCATTGGTGCCAGTCGTGAAGTATTCTGGTCATTATGCTGTTGAAGAGTAGGTCATTTATCACCATCATTATTAAAAGCATAAAATGTCAAGGTTACCCAGGAGTAGCAAGTTAATTGGGACTGTGTATGCGATGACAAGCTTGAAGAGAACACTTTTGAATTAATTTGATAATAGCAACATATGCTTGAATCGTTTGGTAGTTACAGTAATATTCTTATACCAAGGTGTGGTATTCAAAGAAAATTTTGGTTCCGGATTCGTCACCCCAAAATTCAGGGTCTGATCCTTAGTTTCTTGGGGGGAGGGGAGGGGGGGGTGGAGGTGGTGGGGTTGAGAGCTGAATGACATATAGATGGAGAATGACTTTTCTCTTTGAATTTACGAAGAGCAAACAAAACTAGTAAATTATTGAGTTAAAGGTCTTCGACTTAGCAAATTGAATATTTATTGATTAGTAGAATCTATGAGGCGCAGCGATTTATACTCTAGTCATAATTCGGAGTCTTCTTGAGGCCTTACACTGACCATTATTTGCAGAGAATATATTGCGCATCTACCTATTTTTGCGATTTTTTTCTATTATTAGTTTTAGTTGACTTATTAAATCCAGTAAAGAGTTGGTGGAGTTTGAAACCACGTTAGTAGTCGCTCAAATAAATTCGATCTGCTCTGATTTGGTCCACTACTCTGTTTAACATAGATAAACAGTGGGACACTTAAATAAGAGATAGTCTGTCGTATTTTTTATTTCAATATGTTGTACCCCTTCTCTTTAGACCTCCTGAAAAAGCTGAAAATTTTCGAGTTTTCTTCCTTGGTCGTGGTACTATTTTTTACCAGCAAGATCAACCCGGTGAGAATTTATCAAGCATTAGCTCTTTTTTAATCATGATAAGAAGTGAATAATGCTTGGCACCTCTTTTATTTTTAGGATTGATAACTTCAGAGTCAGCTGTTATCCAAGGCGAAGAAAGTGGAGAGACTGTTTACAACACTTTTCCTGAGTGGAATATGGTGATAACTGTGAATAAAGATTTCCTATTGGCCTATGGACCTTGGGCGGATAGACAACGGTAGTGATCCTTTGCTTACTTCCATGTCATTTTCGGCATTTATTTATATCAGAAGGCAGGCTTTATATTAGTTATCATTAGTCTTTTAGTTGACTTCTGGCTTCACAGAGGGGGGGGGGACATCAAGGTGGGAAAAAGTTGAGGGGGAAGGGGAAGAGAAGAAGAGACAGACAGACACAAAGGTAGAGAAAAAGGTAAGGTGATTGCTGTGGAAGTGGTGGAATATGACATACAGTGGGGACATGATAGTTTGAAGTGAAATGCCAACTATCGGTTTATAGAACTTTTTGTCGTATGAGTATACGTTGCCCAGGTTGCTCCACGTAGGGGTAAGTATATCGCGCACCCTATCACTTTCGGTGTCATTTTGCCGCATTCATATGATACTTACAGTGACTTTATGCCTGAAAAACTATCTACTCCAATATTTTCTCGTCGAACTTATTTATTTAAAATTCTGTCATTAAGCGTGCTGTTAACTTTTTCAAAATTTTATCTGGTAGCTAAATTTTAAGAGAGCTTAGTGGTTGTCTCAAAGTCGATGATATATCTTTGTTGATGCTTCTAAATTCACGAAAGTGTGATTCTCGATGCGTTTATTCCTAATATCTAATGCTGGTATATGTTATTTATACCAATTGGGGTTTTTAATCCGAAAAAAGTTACCTTCCTTCCTCTTTAGTGAAATGCTTTGGAAGTTTTTTTACCCACCCTCCTATCGACTGACTGAGATCACTCCGGTTCCTTCGGTGGGACAGCTTCGAGCAACGCAAAAGTTCTCTCTTGATATTTCTTCCTCTACCGATGTCCAAATGGATATTTGGTTTGCTCGGGACAAAAGTACATATAACGTAAGTCTCTTTGCTATTGGCCTCATTAACCTAATTGTATGCATCAGTCTTACAACTCTGTTTGCACTGATGTGAATCTTGTCGATATATATATATATATATATATATATATATATATATATATATATATTAATTGGTCAAATTAACGTGAATTCTAGTCTAGTACGAGTTGGAAAACCCATCTAATCGAGCAAAATTCTTGTTTCTCCATCTATACCTGCGCTTCATTGGTGCACGCAGTCTACTAATTTGACCTAACTGGCATTTGCATGTTTTGACAGGACTAGATGACTACATAACTTTTAGCTTTGAAGTTGGGTGAAATTTTTTGGCATTTCATTAACCTGACTTCCATTGAGTTAAAACAAGAAATCATTTTAACAGTCCAGATTTTAACCGGTGCAAATTCTTAAATCACTGCACATTTTTTTGTATTGATGACCTAAGGCTGACGATGATCTGAAGCTTTTGATTGCTCATTGGTTCGGTTCCGACGACGCGTTGTCAGCGCTTATCTAAATGGACATTTTTATTGGCCTCCTACTCCCCAGAAAGTGTTTAATCGATCTGTCGCAGGCTTTTCTTCTAATTTGCGGGGAGAGATTTTCTTAGTGTATTTAATTTAACTTTTCATTCCTTTTATTCACTGCTGTTGTATTAGACCTCTTAAAATGTGTCGACTCATTGACAGTAATATGGCTGTAATAGGTCAAAACGACTTTGAACCAGATAACCTCTAGTTTATATCTTCCCTTCTGCAAAACAAATTTTGAATGGTACATTTTTAAAATTTGGTTGGTTGCGCTTGGTTTCAAGTTAGCTTTAATTGCTTCGGATGTTTTTTTTTCACAAGATTTGCTTATTTATAACAAATGTCAAGCTTTATGATGGTTATCATTAGTCCTTTAGTTGACTTCGGGCTTCACAGAGTTGAGGTCGATTAAAGTTACATAAGACCGATAGGAGGTACAG